TCAGGTCTCGAATCAAAAGGCGCAGGTCAAACACTAGCCTCAGAAGCTCACTGTGCCACGGTGGTTTACCCAATTGAAGTGACAGCGAGAAAACCCACCGAAATATGGGTGAGCAGGCAAGCACCCGCACGGCCATGCCACTCCGCTTGCCTGTGCCTGATACCACGGCCGTGTCAGGGGACCTCCGTTTGGCCAAACCATTCTGACGGGCGCTTCCAAAAGCTCTTCAGTGCGGGTTGCTTTGCAGTTCGCAAAACAAAGGCAAGCCAACGGTCTTCGGCTCATGAGAGGAAACGCTGGGTTCCCTGGCCCCGAGAAACAGAGCCATCGGGTTGCCTGCTCCGACCGTCCCACACTTCCCTTTACCCTCCCGGTTAACATGGAACCCACCCCAAAAGGTTTTCCTTGGAGGAAGCATATGAGTGCGATTTTTTTGGGGGACCCAAAAAACTACGGTTTTCCCTTTGGTTTCCCGTTCAAGGGGTACCCTAAAGCGAGACACGCCCATATTTCGCTTGGACCAGGTTCCATGCTGGATGAACCCCACCGCGAAGCAACCTTTGCCCACCGCGCACCTCGGACTACAAGTGAACGCCAAAGGTCATGCCAGCCTGGCAAAGGGCGACGCCACCGGACGCTGATCTGGGAGGGACAACCCACCCAAAGGAAAGGGTCCGACCAGTCTCTTAGAATCTTAGGGGGAGGGGGGGGGGGCGGGGGGCAGGTGTTAGAATCTTTGAAGCGCCTCTTAGAAGCGTCTGACCAGTCTCTCCTGATATCCGCCGACCCTCCTTACCAAAAAAAGAGGTGCGCGGGAATTGTGTCGACAAATCATTGTTACACTGCTAATTAAATCGAAAATCATTATCATCAAACAAATATTTTCTTGAACCGATCATTGGATCGGTGGGAGCGAGTCTGGCTCAAATACTCCGGTATATAAGAGACCCTGCTGGTGATGCAGAGAATGTTGCTGCTAGATGACACTATATTTTCTAGATAAGGTGGTCAATACACCCAGCATCACTAGTGCTTAGAACAGGGCGTGAACAAACATGGCGCGTGTTCACGCCCTTTGGCAGTCTGGCTCCAACGTGAGATGTGTCTTTCGTTGGCAGCAGCCGTCCCCAGAAACGACATTTCAAAAATGTACTACGATCAAAATATGTGTGTATGTATTATGTATGTATGTGTGGTATGGTATGGTATGGTATGGTATGGTATGGTATGGTATGGTATGGTATGGTATGGTATGGTATGGTATGGTATGGTATGGTATGGTATGGTATGGTATGGTATGGTATGGTATGGTATGGTATGGTATGGTATGGTATGGTATGGTGGTGTGTGGTGCGGTGCGGTGTGGGGTGTGTTGTGGTGTGGTGCGGTGGGGTATGGTATGGTATGGTATGGTATGGTATGGTATGGTATGGTGTGGTATGGTATGGAATGCAATGTAAAGTAATGCAATGTAATGCAATGTACTTGTAATGTGATGTAACGTAATGGAATGTAATGTATTGTAATGTATGGATGGATGCATGTATGTATGTGTGCTAAGCTATCCAAAATGTGTTTGGAAGTATCGTCCAGCCGAGCACGTTCACATGCTGTGGGCTGAAGGACATGCGTGCGTACACACAGCTTGTTTGCTTCCAGAACATGCGGGCCGTGCAAGCCACAAGGCAGGACATTGCTGCTTCAGGATCAACCTTTCTGAGATGTGCCTCTGCAATGGACACTTTCGAGCCCCTGGTAAACTACACTGTTCACTCTGCGCGTTACTTTAACTGTTGATTTTATATTGTTTTGTGCAGGCATGCAAGCAATATACCTAGTGGATAGGATGCTCCTTCCAAGCAACCACAATAAAGACACGGCCGGACCTTCACCATGTCCTCGAAGTACGCGCGCGCGGCCTCAGCTCGAGTCGAAAGCTAGCTGTGCCCTGTCTGGGGGCCTGTCCGTGTTTCGTGTTGTTTGCAGGGAGCTGAATTGGTGAGGAATGCCCAGTCAATCCGTCAATCCATTGCTTTGCAACACTCAGCGATTCCTCCCGTAAGGGGAACTCACGCTTGAGATTGCAAACATTGGCAGTGGCAAAGGAAACACATGACATGTTTCTCAAAAGCACACACACACACATGCACATGCGTCTATGAGCCCCAAAACTCTGGGCATACTATAACTCACAAATCGGAAAAGTTTGGAATCTCAAAGTGGTCGCGTCTCTTTTAAGGATTCGCATCCCCCAAAATGGCTTCGGTTGTCCTTTTGATTTCCCTTTCAACCAAAAGGGGGTAACCTCACAGACCCAAGTGAAGGACCTGCATCCTCAACCAACCACAAGGGGGTACCCTCAAAATAAAGACAGACCCAAGTGAACCAACCCAAAGGGGGTACTCTCAAAAAAAGACGGACCCCAGCGAGGGACCTTCCTTCATCCCGGGCGTTCGCTCCTTCGTGGAATCGGACGAACCGAGGCATCGGCCCAGAGGTT